ACGCACTCTACCCAGGGCAACAGCTTGAGACAATCAAAAAAAAAAAAAAAAAAAAAAAAGTCTCTGAATATATTAATTTAAAATTAAAAAATAAATTACTATGAAGAAGTCATATGTTCTCTTCCATAGAAGGAAAAATCATGACTGACCAAGAAAGGGTAATAAAAGGTAATGTTAAAACCCAGGCCCCTTTCCCCAAATTTATCTATTTCAGTATTTTCACAATGCATAATACTTATATTTTAAATTTCACATGTGTAGTTATTCTTTCAAATTACGTTTGGTTAAGAATAATTATAAAGTGCAAATGTTTTTGAATTTCATAACACAAAGACATGTCATAACATCAGTCACAAGGAGTATGCATCACCTCAATGATTCAAGCTACTTCAAAACTGAATTTAGATTGGGTTTAGGATTTAGACTGAATTTACAATTTTGAGCACACCCTTGCCATTAGTGGGCAGAATGCCAGTAACAGATGCAGATAGAACTGAGTGTGATAAATTAACAATTACACATACAGGTAAAACCACATCAACAGAACACTTATCTTTTGTACAAAATTTAAAAGCCTTACTAATGACAACTTGTCTGAAATGAGGCATTTTCATCCAAGGGTTTTAAAACATTACATACAGATGAGAGTCAGCAAACCATGACCCATAAGCCAATTACCTGATTTTTGTAAATGTTTGACTGGAACACAGCCATGCTGATAGCAGAGATGAACAGCTAAAACGAGACCATACCGTCCAGGATGCCCACTACATTTACTGTTTGGCCCTTTGCTGTAAGAAGTGTGCTGACCCCTGCTATGGATTATATACATGCCAGGATCTTAACTATTTCCATTCAAATTAAATCTTTACCAAGCACCATTTATGTCGACAACAGGAGATGAACACGACAATGTTCATTATGAAATAAGAGAGATTTTTAAATTGGGAACTACCATAATAAGAAAAGAATGCTTTGGCAACATGATGCATGCAGCCTAAATTAGAAAGGGATGACGCAGGAGGAGGGGGTCGCGAGCCCCGGTCAGAGGAAAGGAAAGAAGGGGAGGGGAGTGGGCACAGCGGCTGCAGGACCTGCCCGGTGACTGGGACTCAAGGACAGGGACCCAGGAGGCCCAGGACTGAAACTCAGGTGGAGAAGCTAATGTTAGGAAAGAGAACAAGCTGGGCTTTCACTTTGTTAGCATTAGATAAAACAGGAAACCAAGCAGGGAGGTTCACACCTATAATCAGTGTGACTCAGGAAGCTGAAGTGTGAAGATCACTTGAGGTCAGGAGTTTGAGACCAGCCTGGGCAATGAGGCAAAACTTCATCTCTAAAAACTCTTAGAAAACACAGTGGTAATCCTAGCACTTTGGGAGGCTGGGGTGGGAGGATCACTTGAGGTCAGGAGTTCAAAAGTTCAAGACCAGCCTGAACAAAAGAAAGACTCCCCTCTCTACAACATCTAGAAAAATTAGCTGGGCATGGTGGCTCATACCTGTAGACCCAGCTACTCAAGAGGCTGAGGTGGGAAGATCACTTGGGACCAAGAGTTCAAGGTAATAGTGAGCTATGACTGCACCGCTGCACTCCCAGCCTGGATGACAGAGTAAGACCCCATCTCTAAGAGGAAAAGCAAAAAGCTACAGGAACATGAGATGAGATCACAAGTGGGCACTTTAAAAGGCAAACATAGGAGGCATCGTCCTGTCAGCTTGTCTTTCTGTCTAGTGAAAACAGAGAGACTGATGTCTGCACCCGGTTCACCTGGTCACTCTGCCTGATTTTGGCTGTGTGATTAGTGAGGTATAAAAGACCTCTCCACACCTGTAATCCCAACACTGTGGGAGACCAAGGCGGCAGGAGCGCTTGAGGCCAGGAGTCAGGCTGCAGGGAGCTAGAATGATGCCACTGCACTCTAGCCTGGACAACAGACTGAGATCCTGTCTAAAAACTTAAAAGCACCTCTCAGTGAACTTGTGCTCCATCCTCCCCAAAACAGCCACCTCATATCTCACTTTCATGTTGATGAATCATGATTCTGAAACCTAATCTATATTCTGTGCAACTAAGAAAAGAGCCTGGGAAATGTGCCCAGGTGTGCCAGGCCTTTGTAATGTTGCCTACGATTTCTTGCTCCTGGTGTTGTGTATATGTTGCCAGTAACAAATCTTTCATTACTATAAAAAAATGTAATATAGATAAATATAAGGCGAGTGTGGAATGTAGACATTAAATCAGACCATGACTGGGAGTCACAGGCCACCGTGCTTGCTGGCACTGAACAGCAGTAAAGGCCCCAAGGAGGCAAGTGCACAGTGTAGGAAGCAGCCTGAACTCCCCAACTTGACCAATACCTGAAATGCAGGGAAACAGAAAGAAAGGCTAAGAAATGAAACAGAGAAACAGTCAGGGAGGGGGGAGAACCAAGGCAGTGCCAAGGCACAGAATCAGAAAAGTATTTTAAATGTGGAATTCTAATTACAGGTTAAACAAACTTTTTTTTAAGAGACAGTCTTCCTCTGTCCCCCAGGCCAGAATGCCGTGGCATCAGCCTAGCTCACAGCAACCTCAAACTCCTGGATTCAGGTGATCCTCCTGCCTCAGCCTCTCAAGTAGCTAGCACTCCAGGTGCCTGCCACGATGCCTGGCTAATGCTATTTTTAGTAGAGACAGGGTCTCACTCTTGCTCAGGCTGGTCTTGAACTTCTGAGCTCAAGGAATCTTCATGCCTCCCCATCCACCTCCCGGAGTGCTAAAATTACAGGCATAGGCCGCCATGCCCAGCCTAAACAGATACCTTCTTAAGTAAAATATTTTTAGTCACTAAAATGAAAATGATTTAACCTTTACATTGCGATGGATTGTGCTGAGATTTTCATTCTTGATTGATTTTTCTTTAACAAAAGTCCCAGAAATGAGTGGGGTTAGTCATCCACCATCTCCATGTGCACGTGCATCGCTCACAGGTACTCAGCACCCCTCCCCTCCCTGCACCTCTAACTGATCTCTGTCACTCATGGGCCTTCCCTTCCTTTTGGGTACAGAAGCAAAGCAATGATTCCCCCATCAGATGTTTACTCCACACCCACGAACAAGCCATACTCCCTGTTTTCAAGAGCATCAATGCCTGGATGCAGGTGGCACTGACCACACCCCATAGTCCAGAGCTGCTTGGTCCTCCTCAGTAGTAGATACCGACATGCTAGGTAGCCACTACGCTGAGCACGGGGGCATTCGTGCGCCTTGCAGCACGTTTAACAACATCCCTCGCTGCTGCCTCATGGACGCCAGCAGACTCCTCCCCAGCTGCTACTCAGTGTCCTGGGGATGGGTCAGCCCCAGCTGCAAACCTCTTACGTTGCTCATGGCTTCCGACCTCTTGTTCCCTCCCTTACTCACACCTCTTTTAATGTTCACGGGCACCTCTCAACTACCACAATTTCTACCACAAGTCTATTATTTCAACGTCTTGGCCTCCACTCCCACCCACATTTTCTCTCTCATGCCGTAAGTACTTCTATCACACAGGAGTCCTACGTGCCTTTGCAGGGAAAGTGAAAATGCTGCAGAAATCTCCAGATCGTGGAGAGCTCCCTGAGGCCCAAAGGAACAGGACCAGTCTCTCCTGGGTCTCCAGGAATGCCTTCCTCCCATCTGCCTCTGGGTTTAGTTTGTTACAGAAACATGAAGGTATTTGTCAAATGATTTTACTCAAATATAGAATTTTCCCTCATCGTACAGAAACTTTCAAAGATAAAATATAAAAATTACCAAATACCCCACAAAATCACAACAATACATATAACAAGCCAAAGCTTGCTATAATGATCCTTATTCAGTTTTATTGTTTAGTACAACTCATGAATAATATTCCCTGGAGTATTATGAGTAAAAGAACAACAACCTCTTAAATCACATGACCTTACTTACACACTAACCTGGTGAAACACTTCGTTCACAAAATTGACGTAACCCCGCGTGGACAAGAGGATGCGCTGCACCATCTCATACACCGTCCGGTGCTCTTCCTCAATGCTACACAGACTTGAATTGCTGAGTCTTCGGTCGGACAAGGTGCTGCTGTTGGAATGGCTTTTGTCCTGCTCGGGGGGCCCAGCACCGTCCAGTTCTGGTGCCCTCTCTTGCGCGACACCACCTCCGACAGACTGGAAGAAAGTCAAGGCACTTCTCAGTGACCTGCATGCCCATTGAGAACAGCCGAGACTGAAGTCCTGCCTTCTTTAAAGACCTCTGGTCACCTCCAACCTGCACAGGGTGCAGTAAGTTGGATGCCACCAATTGCTTAAAACACAACAGGCTCCAGAACCTGTACTTACCATTTTTTTCATTAACCACCTAATCCCTCTCCAATTCAGTTATTTAGAGAGAAAAACCATTTAAGTATTTTAGGGATGAATGCTGTGAAATTTTATAAACCTAAATACAAGGTTTAATTTCCACTGTAAAAGCACAGAATAAATTAATGAGCAAAATCATCTGTATTATTATCACACGGGGTCTCCAGACTTCAGCATTTACTCTGTGGTCTACAGGGGTATAAAATTCTTACAGCAACAACGTTGGGATGAGTCAATCTGATTGTAAAGATGAAGCGGCACCCTGATGGTGGCGTGCGGAGACCTTTCAAAGGTATTTTACAAGAATAATCTTGGTCTCAGTTTTACCCTCAGAATCTCAGGTCAAACTTAACGATTTATAAAATTTTAAATATTTAAAAGACTTTAGAACTACAAAGAAATGAAGTAATTTACGCGATGACTCACGAAGTTTAATTCTGCTCTCATTTCCCCACACAATGAAAGGTTTCCTCCAGACATAATATGTGTGTAATTTTGATTCATCTTTGTAAACTCCACTATTATTTTTAAGTGTCAAAAGTATACAGCCCAAATACCACTATAATTTTACCCACTGTGAATATTTTTTATAAGAAGTGATAAGATATAAGATATGAGTAGTACAAAACAGTAATTTCAGTAACTACCAAGGACAGTTTGAAAACAAAACAGATATCCAATAGGAATCTCTAGGGAAAATTAATGGGAGATTATACTCCTAATAATTTTTCTCTTCATGCCTTAGTTACTAAGCCTGTGTGGCTTATCACAGGCTCTGTCACACTGAGAGATACACCGCCCTAAAGAAATTCATCTTTTTGATGGATCCACAATCTTCCACAGAAAAATAAAATTTTATTGATTTCATTCTTTTTTAATCTAAAGTTTCACTAAGAATGATTCAAGAAGATAATGAATATAATACGGAAACAAAAGGGCTCATAATGAAGCATCAAAAGACTTGTTTCTACACATTCCTAACTGTAAGGCAGGTCACTTACCTCACTTGGATTTCATATGTATTATACATATATATTATTTATAACATATATATTTTAACCTGTAGAGCAGGGCAGTCAGATCAAGTCTGATGTCTCCTACAACTTAGTAACCATGACTTTTTGACTGATTATTCCCATCTTTCCCACAGACTAAAAAGTAAAAAGCAACATATATATATGTGTGTGTGTACAGATATACATATATGTGTGTGTGTGCGGATATACATATATATATGTGTGTACGGATATACATATATGTGTGTGTACGGATTTACATATATATATGCGTGTGTATGGATATACATATATATGCGTGTGTATGGATATACATATATATGTGCGTGTGTGTACAGATATACATACATGTGTGTGTGTACAGATATAGATATATGTGTACAGATATACATATATATTTGTGTGTGTACAGATATACATATATATGTGTGTGTACAGATATACATATATGTGTGTGTACAGATATACATATGTGTGTGTACAGATATACATATATGTGTGTGTACGGATATACATATATATGTGCGTGTGTATGGATATACATATATATATGTGCGTGTGTGTACAGATATACATACATATGTGTGTGTGTACAGATATACATATATGTGTACAGATATACATATATGTGTACAGATATACATATATATGTGTGTGTACAGATATACATGTGTGTACAGATATACATATATGTGTGTGTATAGATATACATATGTGTGTGTACAGATATACATATATGTGTGTATGTGTACAGATATACATATATATATATATAATTAAAGATGATCACAATGACTTGACACTCCTTCTGCAGACAGGTGGTGTCGATATCCCTCCCTTTGGTCTCCATGAACTGTGTGACTGCTTTAGCCACTAGAATAGAGTTGAAGAGACCTGGGCCAGCATCAGAAGCAGGTCTAGGAGGCGACAGTTAACACCTCTCTGGAAACATTTTACTCTTGGAGCCAGGGGACATCATGTAAGAAGCCCAACTACCCAGCTAGGGAGACTCCATGGAAAGGAGTCCCAGAAGCCCAGGCTTCCAACTGCCCTCACCAAAGTAACAGGCATGAAGTCATCATGGACGCTCCAGACCAATCTGCTGAATGACCTCCCCAAAGATGTCCATATCCTAGTCCCCAGGACCTTGAACATGGCAAAAGTTACCCACCGAGACTGGGTTTGGACTTTTGATTTCCAGAACTCTAAGATGACAAATATGTTGTTTCAAGCTTTAGTTTGTGAGAATTTGCTACAGTGACAATAAAATATTCAATAATATAACAAGTCACTATGAGATATAGCAACAGGCTCTACAATGGCAATAGCCATTTCTAAGCACAGCCACCTGTATAGATGGCCCAGAACTGCTCCTCCCTGCCAGAACCCCCATGCTCCGTAAGCCTCCCACACACCCAGTTGACTCACAGGAAGCAGACCCCACACACAGTTCTTCCTGTTCATAGAAGCCCATCATGGCACCTCCAGGCCCATGCAGACACCTGGTTTTAAGTGAATTAGTGCCTTATTACGGTTCTAGGGCCGAGCAGGTAACCTAAGTTGTTCACTCAGACAAAAGGGAAAGGCCTTATAATTCTGGTTGTCTCTAAATGTCCACAAGAAAAGCAGTGCCCACCTGCTGGCAGCTTTCTGTAAACAAGGGGTAACCTGCAGATGAAACTGTCAGAGAGAAAGGGCAGAAAGAGAAGACCACGGAGAACCAGAGAGAAGCGAGTGGACCATACCCTCAGCTGTCCTCATCACCGGCTTCTTTTTTGTAAGATTAAAGTATTTCCCTTATGTTTCAGACCATCTGAGTCGCACTGCCCTGCCCTGTGAGGATGATGGAATCATCCCAATTGATTCACCAGGCACAACTCTTTTCAGGCACTAAAAAGCCAAATGACAAAAGTAGATGACTCACAACTGTGAAGTCAACTGAGGGGAAAAACTTATAACCTTGAAGCAGTGGTTAATTTGCTATTCTTTCTATTTCTCATTAGCCAGAAGTATTTCTCAAGAATGAGCAATTTATTTTCAATGCGTACAGGTCATGGTTTTCCAATCTTTCAAAAACAGAGAAGAAAGTGCACATCCTTTAATTGAGACTATTTTAAATTGAGTGGCAAACACATAAGATGTAATCGAAAATTCACCTAAGAGCGTGACTGAGTTTCTCGCACATAACTTCATACAAACATTTGTCTATCTGATAGTTTTTTAGTTTTTGTCTTACCTGATGGGTGATAAAGGTACTTCATGATGGTTCAGAACTAACAGCATTTCCCCTGCTGCTGGTGAAATACAGGGTCACTGCAGTCCCTCTTCTGTAAGCTGCCCTTTCATCTCCTTTGTCCAGTTTGCAATGGGATTAGTTGTTTGTCTTCGTGGCTGCCTGTAGGCACTGTTTTTTTTCCTTGACAGATAGTCTCACTCTATCACTCAGTTTAGAGTGCTGTGCTGTCAGCCTACCGCACAGCAACCTCAAACTCCTGGGCGCAACCAATTCTCCTGCCTCAGCCTCCCAAGTAGGAGGCTGGGAATACAGGCACAATGTCTGGCTAATTTTTCTATTTTTAGCAGAGACAGGGATCTCATTCTTGCTCAGGCTGGTCTCAAACTCCTGAGTGCAATTGATACTCCTGCCTCCCCCTCCCAGAGTGCTAGGATTACAGGTGTGAGCCACCATGCCTGGCTATGTAGTGCTCTTTAAATAGTAGGCATTAACTCTTTAAACAGTCAGGATGTTACTCCACTCTCTATTGCTTGGATTTGGCTTTTATGTTATTTTTTGACATAAAAATATTTCTTTATGTTTTTCACAAAGTCAAATCCCACTTCTTCTACGGCTTCTGGGTCTTATTTCTATTGAAAGTAGTCTCCCACTTCCCAAATTTATATGTCCCCTTAAATTTTTCTTTCTCATAAACTAATGATTTTGTTTTTATTATGGATATTTTATTCTTAAATCGATCTGACATTTGCTTATATGTTGTAAGTGGCAAGCTTCTAACCAACATCATTTATTAAAGATTCTTTCTTTTAATCTTGACTGGTGTCATCCTTTGAAAGAGAAAGAAAGAGCGAGAGAAAGAGGAGAAAGAGGAGAAAGAGGAGCACACAGTGGTTTTCTAGCCTCCATCCAGGACTTGATTAGATGTTCAACACCAACCTCAGTCTCACTCCTTTGATGTAACCTATGGTTCCTGACTACAAGCCGATATAATTTTTTCTTAAGCCTAAAAGTCAAATGTCTAAGTTTGTGTCTGTTTTGCTAATTTGGGGGGAGTCTCAAAGACCCTCTCAGTATGAAGTATCTCTTGTTTTTAGTGCAGGTAAACTTTTCCTCTTCCCATTTGTTCAATCACTACTTCTCATTCCTTTCTTTTTTTTTTTTTTTTTTTTT